TGCAAGGTTGGCATAGAGTAGTCTGTGCCAACCTGGCCTCCCTTACCTTGTACACCGTTCCCGACATCTCCACATAAAAGGCAACCGGTCTCTCTTCGTATATGGCCGAAGGTGGAACAAGGAATTCCTCTGCAGTTCAAGGTCGATATTGTGAAGCTTGGCTGCAGCCTTTCATCGCCGCATTCAGTGTTCTGGAAGAGGTCGGATTTGGCGGGGTAGTTGCGAGCTTTAAACAATGCAACACCCCCATGTCACAAGTCTCCTTACCTGGGCCCTTGCTGGCTACAATTCACATTTGGGTTATAATAAAATCCAATAAGGATTAACAAGGATCATGTTTAACATAGCCCCAACAGAGAACCTGTCTCTCTCTCACGGCCATCGGACGAGTTCGCGACCAAGCCGAGCAAGCGGCACAAAGGTTGCGCCGCATCTGTTTCTAGGACTAACCCGCGGCCCCACCGCAGGATACGACATGGGAACGGTTGAACGCGACAGCTCACCAGGCCAGCAAAGCTAGAGTCCAGCGAGCCATCACTCAAACTTGCCGTTAGTGGCACGAAAAGGGAGCAAAATCTACGGACCGACGTCAGCTCGGCGGCTCATTTCCTTCCCAAGATCTCGGTCAAGTGATCTACCACTTCTTGAACTTCTCTCTCCAGCTCGCTTCTTGGGGCCTGTCTACGCTTGAGCCTGCCGCCGGCATGGATCAGCCCCTTCGTCAAAGCCGTCAAGGACGGCTCCGCATCACGATGCACCGAGAAAAACATCTTCATGCTATCTCGGTCAAAAGCTTTGCGGACTTTGCGCACATACACGATGCCGGACATGATGAGCGGGTCTGTCGACACTGCACGATGCTGCTCAATGGCCTGTCGGTCATCTGTGTTGAGAGCCTCGTCGTCCATTGCCACCCTCAACAGCGCCGCCCAAGCATGTACATGAGGCTCTCCTGGTGGCGGTTCACACTTGCCCGACTGCGCGCTCTTAGCCTTGTCCGCATACTGCTTCGTGGCATTGACCACTGCTTGGACGTATGGGCAGGCTTTGGGGAGAATGAACATCACGAAGCAGGCAGCTTGGAGTTGTCTTACTTCAAGAGAGTTCTTGGGGCACAACCTTGCGATGAGATGCACGGCCTTTGCCATGTCCTTCTCGGTCCCCACAGCAACACGCTTCGCCATCGGTCTTGCCGCAGGAGGGCCAAGCTCCCAAGCATCCATTGTGAAGCAATCGGGTTTCAAGCTACGTGGCTCACTACAGCTGCTCTTGGTGCCTGGGCCCAGCAACATGTTGGACCACATGGTCCCACAGTTGTGACAATTCTGTAAAAGCAACCGAGCAATATGGGCAGACAATGTGATTGGGAACTTCTGGCTCAAACACCACAGCACTACCTCTGCCAGTGCACGTCTGATTCCACAAAGCTCGCCTAGTGTGTTGTTGTGCAGTGCGCCTGCTGCTGAACACATGTCGGCAAGAAGGGTATTGGTTGGTAATTGCCAGCTTTCTGTAATCTGGAATGACCGCATGTGTACTCCCTTGCGTAGAAGCTGCTGTTTGCTCTTGAAAGTGGCCGTGCACGGTGTGCCATCTTCGCACAAACATGTGCATCGGTATGAAGGCTCCTCCGCATCTGCCTCCCCTCCCTCTTCCGCCGCTGAAACCTCTGGGCTAGCAACATATTCAGGTGGCGGGATGCAGACTGCAAAATGTTTGAGACGAAGGGGGGACACGTCGAGCTTGATGAATAGCTGTCGCAAGTCTGTGAAAATCCGCAGGGTCTGCTATCAAGGAACGAAACCAGCACTGCTCCATCTTCGAAACGCAACAGCTGCTCCAAAATATCGTTCTGAAACTGTTGAACCCATGGGTTGGCATCTCTGTGGAAACTGCCGTCATGTTCGATGGTAGCATAGTGCTCGAAACCAAACGCCCAAACCAAACACTGTGCAATTCGGGACATCGTGCGATCTGCTGATACCACCGCAATCTTTTGACCAGCAACTCATCACTGCTAGGTGCGATGCGCATGTATTTGAAAACCTGCTTGTTCGGCACGGCCTGATAGCCAACAAAGAACCAGTTACATGACCCCTCCCATTGTCACCAGAAGCGGTCTCCGGGTATATGTACACCCCAACCCGGCCTTGCGATCAAGAGTCTTCACCTCCTCAGGCCCTCAAACCCCACGAACCCCGGAATCATGTAAAATGTGAGCGGACGCCCTGTATCGATGGTGCCACTTATCTGATTATATCTCAGCTGGCCGAGACTTCCAGAATTGGTGCCGGCGATGCTTTTGCAAGCAGCTCCTGAACAGCAGCCTAGTCCTTCCCGAGCAGTGTGGTGTTTGGCTCTCGCCCCGACAACCGACAAACAGCAGCTGAAGCACCGTATACGCGAGTTTGCGACTGTGTGTGTGAGCGGAAACTGCACATTACAAACGAGTGCGAAAGCAAAGTTTCAGGCCCCAGGCCAGCTGCCAACAAGTTTCTCGAAACCCATTGACATGACCGCCCACAGAGACCCTAATATGCGGGGCGGGGTCTGAACACTTAGTAGTACCATTTCGGAGCACCGGACAAGGGGTGCTAAGCTAAGGGGTGCTAGCGGTTGGAGGTATGCCAGGGGGCCTATGCACAGTTCTCTCAATGTCAAACGACTGCTGGCTCCTTGTATCAAGGCTTGTGGCCAGCCCGAAGAACAGAAGGGGCCATCTCAACATGAGCAAACAACAAGTGTCACCACTAACCAGGCCCTAAACACCCCTTTGCACAAATTTTGCTTCGCCCTATGCCCTGAACCCGTGTCGCTACAGACCTTGCCAGGCTTGTCCAAGTGTGTGTGTGTGTGTGTCGAAAAACCCTAAACCCTACACCCTAAACCCTAAACCCCCATGGCAAGAACCGCTCACTGGATCACTGCAATGGCTTTGTCTTGGAAAGCCTGGGTTCATGAAGCTGGCGAGACGTTCTGGGAAGTTCGTCGCGTTATAGATACTTGTCGCTTTTCTGGTTGGCTCTGGCTAAAAGTTTCACTTTTAGGAGGGGTTCAGAAGTCAGCAAAGGATTCATGCTTGAGTCACAAAACAAGACTTGAGCCATTGCAAATCATCAACGAAGTGAAGATCCCCTGCAGCATTTTGCAGCCTGCTTCCGGCATGCGCTAAGGTGTTTGTTTTGTGCGGGGGGGCTAGAGCTCTTATGGGCAGAAGTGGTGTCGTGTGGCTCATGTATGACGCAGGCGTCATAAAGCCAATGGGGCGAACTGCTGACTATACAGCTGCAAATGTCGCAGACCAGGATCTGTCATGGAAGGGTTTAGGGTTCAAGGTTTAGGGACAAACTCCTGGTGGGACCTGCTCAAAATAGGATATAAGGAACCCTAAACCCTAAACCCTAAGCACCAAACCCTAAACGCAAAACAGCCCCGCTCACGCTCGCTTCGTCAACTTTTCGCCCTACGGAGTCGGGGGGCGGTGCTGCCGCAACCCGTGGTGCCGGGGGTGTCGTCTCTCGCCCGACTCAGCTTTCTGTTCACATCTCCCCAATTCGATCTTCATACTTCCCTCGGCGCCGTGAGTGAGTGAGTGAGTGAGTGAGTGAGTGAGTGAGGCACCAACTGGTCGACTAGCGCCCCTTAGCCTAGCACCCCTTGTCCATTGCTCCAACCATTCCTGCTGTTCCTTCAAAGTCCCTGTTCAAATTACAGTGAGCCATAATGTTTACCCCTGCACAAGCTGCTTCCCCAGTCTGCTTCCAGGAATTTCGTCCTTCCGAAGATGGCAGAAGCCGTGCAGTCTGTGCTGCTCAATTAGCAAATAAGAGTTGTAGCTTGGGCACTTTGCGGCTTTTTGTTGGGTTCCGGATTTGCGGCGTCCTGTTAAGGCTTCGGGCGATGTTCAGAATTCCTTTACTTTTGCCTGATCAGGGGGCTGCCGATGATATTCACTTCCAGTTCACATCAACCTCGAAATCTGTCTTAGTAGTTCGAACCTCACCATGGCAAACGCAAGGCAGACCGTCATGTAAAAGTATGTATGCCGTATAAAATCCTCAGGCCAGGCGTCCATGCACCCTTCAAATACCAGGGCCTCTGCAATGAGTTTAGCTGCAACCAGTAAGATGTGGGAAGCTTCTCCCACAGGCTCCGAAGCTGGGTCATGCTTTTGACGATCACAGGAGTACACGAAGCCATGGCAGTCGGAAGCTTTTGAGGCCACGACATGAGTCTAGAAGAGCAGAAGACCGACCCCACAGGTGCAGTTCAGGGACATGCAGTTGTGTTTCAGCTCTAAGGACGAAGCTGGAGAGGTTCCTGATGGAAGCTTGGCACGAAGAAAGTTGTTTCAAGTTCACCATAGAGGGGCAAGGTTCTGTAGTTTGTATGAATCGCTCAAATTCGAGAAATGGGAGCGAGCTACTGCACGTGGTCCAGCAAAACCGGGCGGGGGGGGGGTTGAACCGCATGCGTTTGAATTGGCCCTAACCCTAAACCCCTAAACCCCTAAACCGTAAACCCTAAACCCCTAAACCCTCAACCCAAAGGATTCAGGAAGTCCCGGTGCTCTGCATCTCCCAATTCGTGGGGCAACCCACGGTTACCGTTGGGCTGGTGCTTTGGGTGACAGCAGCTTCACCCTGTAGTAGGGTTTGGGCGCTGGCCGGCACCTCAGTCCGTGCTGGAAAGGGTTTAGTGGTTTAGGGATTTAGGGACGGAGTATACCTCGATGCACACTAGAACCGATACCTCCACCAGTAAAGCACCGCATCCTTTTCTTCATCTATCCAAGAAGTGAGCGGAGCCGTACGCACTGGACAATCCGGATGTGTGCGGGCTCGGCCCCAACTGCCGAAGCCATAAATTTAATTTCAAGCTTGATCCTGAAATATCTAGTTTTTCAGAGCACCTTAGTATAGACCCGAGGTGCTACCATGATTTTTGGAACCATTGAATCCATCTTCTGATGCTGACCAACAGAATTCATAATTGTTAGAATCTGAATTTCAACACCACCGTTTGAACCAAGTGCCCGAGCCTAGGTGGTGGCTGACTGGAGTGGGCGAAGCTTCAATCATAAAGCCTGGAAACGTTGGTGCAGTTATGAAGGTTTCTGAAACAGTGGGGTTGCGTTTTGGTTTTATCGCTATGGTTATACAGGTGCTATCTTTCAAGGTGTTCGGACTCTTTCCAGAATCCTTTCCTTTTATCAGGCCTATGTTAAGAGGGAGCCCATCAAAGTATCCTTTCTTTTTTTATTGCTGCCGAAGACAGACCGAGTCTGGATGGGGATTCGGGTATAAAGTTGAAGGTTTGCAATCAATTTCCTCTCTTTGGGCAAAGATGATTTTTGTTTTAGGGTCTCGGTGTTTGGAATTTAGGGTTAGGGTTTATGGGAGTAGGGCTAGGGTTCGGGGTCAAATTTAAGGGTTCGGTAGGCCGCCAAGAGCTGCGCCATGTGGCTCCAGTATTCTGCAGACATCTCTTCCTTTTTGTCTGCCGATCGGTTATAGTATAGCCAGGAATGTCGTTGATAGCACAGCGACGTGGTTTTATATGAGCATTAATATTGCACAAAGCCAAACCGGGTACACACGCAGGCTTATGGTTGTGGGTGCGCACTTGAATATGCATTAATACGTGCAGACGCACATTGATACGCATACATACATGACGTGGTGGTGGCTTCTGTGGTTGTAGCGTCAAACAGGCTACGCGTATTCACCCGCAGATCCTGTGAGAGACAGAGAATCGTAGGCATCTTCCCCGCAAAACCCAAGAGTCGAAACCGTAAGAGCTATGTTTCTGCCTTCTCGACTGCAGCCCTAACCTTAGCCTTGAGAGCCGTGCGCCTGGAGGCATCAAGTTGTCCAGGTTTTTGAGGAAGCGCAGGGCTGAAAGTTCGGGGTGGAAGGGTTTTGGGATACAAATGACTGGACAATTGTGGTTTTGCGGGCTTGGGTTGCTGGTTGGCTTGGACGCAGTAACAGCATGGACCCTTTGCAACACGTCCATGGCTAGCATCCTCGACTTCACAGCATATGTCTTGTCACCTTAAACCCTGGCCCTAAACCCTAATCCTAAACCCTAACCCTAAACCTAAACCTAAGCACTAACAGATGAGACCTAGGAATCCCTCTCATCCTCAGGATGCTCTCCATGCGCTTATCTTGTCCGGATGTGAACTGCGGAAACATCAGAGGGGCATTCAAGATCTGGCGGGAGGCCGGGGCGTCATGTGGGAGTTTCCGAAAATTAGGGTACCTTATTTTGGGGTCCTTATGACAAGGATCCTATTATTTAGGGTNNATTTTCGGAAACCCCCATGTGATGAAGCCTGGCACTAAGCTTGGACCGCTTCGACTTTTGACATCCATAATTTGCAGCTTGCGGAGGTGGCCGTGGAGCAAAGCTACTTGATCACTTTCGTGTCAGAAAAATGTTTGTTCAAATTTGGAATTTTCGCATGACTTACGTAAGTCTTAAGTTAGTCGCCAGGTGCTTTCAGGTGATGGTGAGTCTGGGGCACGGGTGTCGAGCATCAGTGTTGTTGGCCATGGCGAAATCGGAATGATGATCTCAACAAAAAAAACAACATCCGGTAAATCAAGTCAGATTCCACAAATCGCAAACCATCAAACCCTACACCATGTAAGCCACGGCCTCGTTCTTGGAAGCCTCCGCCCGAATCCTTAAACCCGATATCCGAAATCCAACGCCGTCCAAACTTCCTCCCTGGAAGACGGTGAGACGCCTGGAAGCTGCTGCTCAACCCTGCTGGCGCGCCGCTCTTGCACAAGGAGCTGGACCCTAACCATAAAAATTAAAACCCGACGCTTCTTGCTCGGCCCGTTTTCACGGGGCTTTGTGCTGCAGTGAAACATGAGGCACGTGACCAACACGACCAGAAGCTTCACTTGACCCGCCCGTAACAGCCTATGGAAATACACCTGCTCTCGAACATTCGCACACATGTACAACTGACGCCAAACATGCATGCATGCATGCATATGTATGTAAAGCAATGTATTACAATGCAATCTGCTGTAATGCAATGCCATAATGTAATGCAACATTCTTGCAATGCCCCACAGGCATTTCACAAGATGCAAGAGCCCCCCCCCCCCCCCCCCCCNNCCCCAAATTCCAGAACCCTAAACCCTAAACCCTCACAATCCCAAACCCTGGATACCTTCGGTTCCCCTGGAGGCTGGGAAGAGGCGTTGCCTCGGGAGCCCCGGGCTGCAGACGTCCGCGATGGTTGTTTTGTTTTTATTTAGGGGCCTGAATAATTACCAATACTATTTCGGGGGGGTCCTTATTATAATTGTAGTATCAAGGGCCCCCAAAACCCTACTCTAGTTAATATTCAGGCTAAAGGTCCTTTTATTAGGGTTTTGGAGTTGCCAAGGGTTTAGGCTTTAGGGATCTTTAGGGGTCTTCAGGGATTGGGGGCGAACATGAACGGCGTTGCGCCGGCAGTCTAGGTGTGCAGGGCGATGCAAGCTGGCCATGATGGCACCTGCGCCGTTTTAGGGTTTAGGGTTTAGGGGCCCCTCCTAAAAATGATTTTAGGACTTATCTGGTGCAGTCGAACATGCTGCCCTAGCCGAACACCGCCTGTTGCGAAATCTCTTTTGTTGTGACATACTCTTTCCCAAAGGGTCCGAGTACTAGTATAGTATATACTTTTGGGGCCCAAATACCTATTAAGTACCTACTATACTGGTACTTGGACCCTTTGGGACTCTTTGAAGTGAGAACGTCTCCCACCCTGAACCCATTGGAAGTTTGAACTAAGTGCGTCTACGACCCTTTCTATCCGCACCATCCGCTCCGTGGCATGATTGAGGGCTGCGGGCGGAATCAGCGGCTTGCAATTCCTTTAGGGTTTAGGGTTTAGGGTTTAGGGTGCTTGTGTTCATCATGGGCTTCGGACTGCCTGGAAGTTGGGCTCCGGAACCATAAATCTCTAAGGGTTTAGGGTTTGGGGTTTATCCAAATCCTAAAGCCCTGCTGCCTTGAGCCATAAACCCGAAAATCTTAATAGGCATCGTCTGCCTAATTCAATCCTAAAGAATCGCAAGTGGGTCATGTCTTGCAGTAATTGCACGAGCAGGAGCTTGGTTACAGTTTCGAGCTTCGGACAAGTAACAAGTATGTATAGCATTCATAGCATGTCATAGGAGGTAAGTTGCAGTTACTTGGTTATAGTTGCTAGTGTGCTGGGGCGTTGTACTTTGGTTTCGCTTTCTCTTGGCATCATGCTGCCAGTTTTTGGAGGGCCAATTCTCCGATAGTTTAGGGCCTTTTTTTGCCAAACCGGTTCAGGGCGTAGCGTTTCGTACCCTAAACCCTAAACCCTAAACCCTAAACCCTAAACCCTAAACCCTAAACCCTAAGCCCTAAACCCTAAACCCTAAACCCTAAACCCTAAACCAAAACCCTAAGAGAGCTTCAGGGCTTCCGGAGGCGAGAGTTTGCGTAGCTATGCCTTGACCTGTCACGTCCATCTGTATCAGTCAGGATTCCGTGGATGTATACAAACGCAGCTCGACTGGCCATGTTCAATATCTGCAGCGTGTCTCCGACGTCAGTGGGTCCTAACTGCTCTAGGATTTCGGGTACAAGTCTTCCACCAATTACTGTCTCAAAGCAAAAGAAAAGACCAGGAGACAAGGGCCTCCTAAACCCTAAACCCTGAACCCTAAACCCTAAACCCTAATAGGGCACTAAGGCTGATGTACTGCGACTGGGCGGGAAGTCGTTGCCCTGAGCAGCGTCCCATTCAGCCCTTTGCGGCCTTCAACGTCCGAGTCAGGCACGGCGTGCTTCAGTTCTGAAAACATAGCCCTTAACAGTTGAAATAATGTTTTTGGGGTATGGTACAAGATAATTCTACCGGGACTAAAAAGAGAGATCACTATTAGTCATTTATTTTCCGACCCCTACATTAGGGTCTCGTGAGGGAGTGTAGATGGATGAGGAGAGATTGCGCGATCTCTATGTGTTTGCAGTGTAGGTCGGAGTTGCTACATGGCTTGGCGAGCCCTTTAATTGACGGGACGACACCGCACGCCTGGATGTGCATGTATGCGGGGAGCCAAACATTTGCAGACTTCTACCCCGAAAACACCATCCCACATGACTAAACCACGACCCTTCTCAACCCCAGAGGGGTTTTAGTTGTGTACGGCGTTTTCCTTAAAGGCTCCAGGTGCAGTGGTAGCACCGTCGGCGCTCCGGTAAGCTGTTCCAGTGTAGCAAGACGACATCCTGAAGTAGAAGAAGTCCTGCGTTGGATTCTTAATCCAGGATGGGCCCAGTCATTTGAAGCCAACAGAAAAAACACCTAGTGAAGTGCACTGAAACAATCATGGCTACAAGCCTGTTAAGTGGACAGGAGAGGGAGTGTGAAACTCAACTCACACTGAAATCTGAAAAACCCAGGCAGGCGTCAATGGCGGCAAACAAAACCTAAGCTCCAAAGCCCTATCCCCTAAACCCAAAGCCCAGAACGCTAAATCCCTGACCCAGGAGGCAGCAACAACCTTAACCCAAAACCCGAGCTTTGTGGTGGCACCCTAAACCCAACCCTAACCCCTAAACCCTAACCCCTTCAAACCCCCAAACCCTAAAACCTAAACCGGGAGTATCCTTGGGGGCTGCGAGTTCTAAGGCAAAGCCCGGCCGATGCCACCCTGAGGCGGCCTGGGGTTCAGGGCTCGAAGGGTCTAAGGCTTCAGGACCTTTTTGATTTAGTGCTTAGGGTTTAGGGTTTAGGGTTTAGGGGTTTAGGGGCTTATAGGGTTTAGGGTATAGGTTTAGGATTTAGTCTTGAAGGGCTTTCGGCTTTTTGATGGAAGGCACAGATGTGCACGCATGATTGGTCGAGTGGCACGGTTTTCTCCGAAGCATATTGCCCGCACCTGCCCCACAAACAGGTGCGCAAAGAACAAAACGTCAGCGAAGTGACGACCCTTGTTTGATTTCGCTGTTGCAAGAGTTGGGTCCACTGGAAGAGTGTGAGACTGGGCAGGACAGATATCGACTCGGTCGATGTCCCCTCGCTTGCAACTATTGACGTTAGCACGGATCGCCCTTGGTCGTTCCAGGGCTTCTTGGGTTTACCTTCTAAGGACTTTAGGAGGGACCCTAATAGGGACCCTTAATCCCATTACCTAAATAACCGTTGTATAGTCCTTATATACCCCTTATATAGCCAGGTAGTCCCCATATTAACCCCAAAAACCTACAAGGGTCCCTATTAAGGGTCCCTCCCAAAGCCCCTAACCCCTAAACCCTAAACCCTAAACCCCTACACCCGAAACCCCTACACCCTAAACCCTAAACCTATTAACGGTCCCTCCTAAAGCCCTTAGATACCTGATTGCTTGCATGCTGTTCTTGAAAGAAAGGGATCGAGTGCGGTTAGCCGGAAACCTCAGACCCGGGTGGACAAAACCCTGAGCCCTACCGAGCCTTAATATAGCTGGCCTACATATAATTACCAATAGTATTTTTTTTTTTGGGGGGGGGTCCTTAGTATTATGCAAGCCTAAACCCAAAACCCTAAACCCCTAAACCCTAAACCCTGAACCCTGAACCCCTGAACCCTGAACCCTAAACCCTAAACCCTAAACCCCAACCCTACGGAAGCCCTGTGCCCTGGCAGCCGAGGATCTGGTAAGAGACCTCACAGGCGCAGACTGGATTCGCCTTGGCTGCTTGGCCTATGCCAAGAAGCTCGACAGAATTCAGAAGCTGGGTTTAGGGTGTAGGGTTTAGGGTTTAGAGTTTAGAGTTTAGGGTTTAGGGTTTAGGGTTAGGGTTTGGGGTTAGGGGTTGGGGGATTTTGGCATGTCAGTAGGTGACCCTAATAATCTTGTAGGGCCTAAGCTCAGGAAATGACAAGATCCTGAGTTGAAAGAAGCCAAAAAAACATTAGACACTGGCACCCAAATTTTCAGAGCCGGCCCTATGCCCACCTAACTGGTCATTCCGTTCTTCACGGTTCGCCAGGCCTACCTTCAGGCACCTACCCCGCATCTGCCATCAACTGAAGTATCGGCTTGTCCGCAGTCCAGAGCGCCAGAGAGCACAAGTCCCAAACTACAGTATCTGAACATGTTGTGGGTATGGGGCAATCTGCCTGATACTTCGACCTTGCTTGGCGGTGGCATGCTACATGATTGGCAAGTTTCCTGCCTTCCCTGCTTCCTACCTACAGGTCTGCTTGCTTATCAGTGGCTGGAAGTTGAAGTGCATGCTTGGCACGGGGTCTTGGTATGATTTTCTCATACAGCCGGGTGGGACTTCAGGTATTGTTCCCTTCCGGGACCCATACAGATGCACACAACCCACTTTCTTGTTCAACTGCACTGCATCAAGAGCCGGAAGTTTTAGCTAGTTCAAGCTGCATGAGAGTCGTTGCGACGACTGTGGGTGAAGTAGGTCAGAAGGATATCGAAAAGGCTGCCATTTCTCGTTCTTCGAAGCACAATGCCACTAGTTTCATCATTGCAAGTCTTTTTCTGCTTGCACCCAAACCACACAGGACTCCAGAGGACGTCAACGGCTCACCTGCAACGGAGGCCGATGCCGGTCTGTCGTGAGATGTGTTGCCTTGACCGGTATGTTCGTTTTACAGCCAGCCTGTTCTTCATTATGAGAATCTTGTTCTAGTAATTTACGGGTTTCCTGGGTAGCGAAACTGTTTCATGTTATTCAACATGTTAGTTTTGTTCTGAGTGGTTTGTCGCTCTGACTAGCCACTATTGTTCCTGTTTTGGTTATCGCCATGATTTGGGCATGCCTGCTCGTATCCATGTGTCTGACACGGGCAATGCTGCTTTCCGCGGCTCTTGCTAGTGGTCGTAGCATTTCTGGTCACCCTATTCCCGACTGCCTGGTCCTGGTCGAGAAGGCCAAAACAATCCTGAGATTCACGAGGAAACAGTCTCCTCACGCCTTATTGTGAGGTGCACCACAACCTGCACCCCCAACAGAGCTCATCGTTGTTTCGGTTTTGTTATTGGTATCAGTTTAATTACCCGTGACCAGTAGTTCTATGCTATATGGTGCCTCGAGTTGGAGTGACAGCTAGAACCGAATGCAGTGTGGAACAACCTTCGCGGAAGCCAACTATCAACATACTCTCCGTGCTGGACTTCGCGATCCTCTTTCCACTTCTTCTGGCCTGGCGAGAATATCTGGACGCGTTCGAAACCTCATAGTTTGTGAGAATCAGTGTCAATGCTACCGCTATTGTGTTGTTCAATACCCTAAATCTTGCCGGGAGCCAAGCCACTTGGCAGAGGCGGAGCCATCAGCTGGGTATGCTCCGAAAACCGAAAGTGCCTTGGTCCGAGCAACTACATTATACCACTATTCCTCAGCGCCTCCGGGTTCCTTTTTAGAATTATAGAGTAGTATAGCCCAAACCCTATACTATATTACGGCCCCTATATTGCGCCCCAAGAATCCGCAATTGTGCGCATTCCGAGTGTTGAGGGATGGGGGTGACTAGGGATTGGTGGCCTCCCAAAGAAACTGAAACAGTAAAGCTCTCGCCGAGAACTCTCGGTACCTGAAAGTAACCCTGAATTGGATAGAACCCTTCACGAAACCTCAAAGCAGCAGGGGGCTCCGATTGGAAGTTGAAAGATCATCGATACCACTTCGGACCAAACCCTGAACCCTAAGCCTAAACCACGAATGCCTAAAGCTCGATCCCAAAATCCTCAAAAGCCCAAAGCCCAAACAGCAAATTTGAGGAAAGACCACAGCTGTCGCTGGGGACCTCTGGGCCGAGAGTCGTGTCTCGCCTTTGAGTCTAGGGGGTTTCGGGGCTTTAGGGATTTGGGGGGTGTAGGGGTTTAAGGGTTTCGGGTTTAGGGCTTTGTGTCGGGGTTTCAGGGTTTAGGGGCTTCAGGGGTTCAGGGTTTAGGGGCTACTGCAAGGGTCCAGTGTTCAGGGTTGTTGTACTTGCTGCGTGGTTGCGAATAGCAGTTGAGATGATTACCGATTGTTCGCATACTGCAGCTTTTCTATAGGCTATAATTCAGGGTATTGGGAGTATACAATTTCCTTCCGGGCTTTCTGGCAGCCCTGTCATTCATGAGGGCTGAAGAGTATTTCCCAACCTGCGCAAGATCTGTTTAGTTGGTTCCGTGAAGGGTTCCTTTGCATCTCCAGTAGTAGTAGTAGTAGTAGTAGTAGTAGTAGTAGCAGCAGCAGCAGCATTAGTGTTAGCAGTACTTGCTGCGGCTACTGCTACTGCCATTGTCACTGCCACTGTGACTGCGACTGCTACTGCTACCGCTACTGCTACGCTACTATAAAGAGGAGAGGAAGAAGAGTGTGGGCGACATCGGCGATTAGTGCGGCCGCGTGTGCCGATGTTCTTGCAGCTGCTTCACCGCTGCTGTGCTTGCTTTCTCGTGTCATAGCCATTTAAGAATTTAGAGTTACACCGTAAGTCCAAATCTATATAAGTATTTGCGCTGACTGAAGTTCTTTGCATAATTGTTTGCAGATGATTTGACCTTGGAGCATCCGGCCAGGCGCTGACAACGGGGCCGTCTTTTACTACAACGTAGAAGAATTCCGCCGGCGTCTCGTCAAGGACTTGTTTGGCTCGGAAACGTAGGCAGGCTCTATGCGGAGATGTGGTTCTGAGAGGCGGGTCGATGACGCACATTACACTCATTATACCAAAGGGTCCAAGTACTAGTATAGTATATACTTTGGGGGCCCAAATACCTACTAAGTACCTACTATAGTGATACTTGGACCCTTTGGGTATACCAAGTGTTGTGCAGCTCAAGCCTTCGAGCGGCAAGCTTCGAGAGCAAGTCAGTCTAAATCAGCCCATGCTAAAACCTAGGAATAAAACCTCAAACTAGAGATGGCTCGTAGTGGTGTGGTTGGCGGGATAGACCTTCACCTCGCCGATATCCGTAGCTGCAGCAGCCAAATCCTCGCATCAATAGTTCCAGACACCATCATGGCTTTGAGGGTCTTACGGCTTGAGGTTCGGGTTGATTTAGGCTTTGGCGTCCTTCAGTCCAGTTGTAAAATGGTCTAGGACGGGCAGAGAGTTTGAGGTTTTACGTACTATCTCGGCTTGCGCAGGATTCTCTCAACAAGTTGTTTTTTCGGTGCTGCCCTAACCGTGTTGGCTCCTCTTACCCCTACCGGATCAGGTTCCGAAACGGCGAAATCTCAGAGGCCACCGTGTGGGCTAGGGGATATATAGCATGTAGGAATTGGGACTGGGGTGGTACCAGTGGTGTGGTGCGATACCATCCCGGACAAGGATTTAATTTAGGCTTTAGTCAGTACTTGAAGGAGCAACGGAGACAGCCAGCATAAGCCACAAGAAGAGCCAAGGACTGCAATGCAATTAAATACTTCTTCTGAGGTTGTCGCATACATCCCATGATCCTGCATTGGAGAGGTCGGGGTGTTCATATAGTATCTTGCGTTCCTTCAATTAGAGTCACTATGTATGTATAGTATACTATAGGGGCTTAATTAATTACCTATACTATTGTTGGGGTTCCCTATTATAAGTAAAGACTGAGAACCCCACTCTAATTATTAAGGCCCCTGCAGTATACTGAACAGCCCTTATCCAATTGTTCAATCCCCCTGCAAATTTCAGGCTTCGTGCTGTCGCCTAGCAGCCCAAGGTCGGGCCTTAACAATTAGAATCTTAGTTCCCCAGTACCCAACCTTCACACTGATTGGGTTGTTATAATTTATTAGTAATTTAGTAGTAACCTGCAAGTTCAACTTTTTATTTCCTTTGCTTTATGGGGAAGTAAGAAATAGGGTTTTGGGACATCGTTTATTAGACTGAAGAATTTTTATTCGGAGCCCTTAAAATAGTATTCGTAATTATGAAACCCTGAACCCTAAGCCTTAGTTACCTACCCTAGACCCTGTCTGGCCTCCTCGGCGTAGCCATTGAAATCCACTAACTAGTTAACGGCTTGAGTGGGTTTTGATGTCACATGCGGAACCCCTAGCTTACAGATGTTTACTCTTATGGGTCTGTGTCTTTTGGGTTCGATGCATGCAGATCTTGATTCACTACTCAGAAGACCTCGAACCATATGCCTCGCCTGGATTGTCCGAGTGTGAGCGTCGAAACCCTAAACCCTAAACCCTATTTTTGGTCTAAACCCTAAACCCTAAACAGTTCTCAGCAATGCGAGAGGGAAAAACCCTAAACCCTTCCGCTCCTTTTTGTCCGGAGCTGGGGCTCGATTGCGAGGCACCGCCGTCGGTGTGGGAACTGCCTCCTGGAGCCCGTTTACAGCGGGAGTCCGAGGACTTCTGAGGCCAGGCAGAGGTCCTGTCCGTTGGATTTAATTTAGGGGTCTTTATAATTACTTAGAATAGGGTTCGGGGGTATAGTATACTATAATTATAATAAGGAACCCCCAGAACCCTATTCTAACTACTCAGGCCCCTACCTTAGGGTCTTTAGGGCCGTTTAGGGTTTAGGGCCTTTTTGTGGCAGTAAGGGGACAAGGTGCTTAAAGGCTCCTTAAGACAGAGCTGGAAGTTACCAGTAGGCTTAACGCAATGTGAGCTCTAAAATGTTTCGATGCATAAGTTTCCGAAGATTCAAGAGGCAACGCAGCGGGTGTTCAGCCGCTTGCACGAATCCCACCAGCAAGCGGCATGGCCCTTTGTACAGTGCCAACCCGGTCGGTTTTGGCAGGAAGCCAAAACTACAAATCATTACAATCCGTTACAACCAATCAACCAACCAGCCAAACACCCGAACCGACCAACCAACCAACCAACCAACCAACCAACCAACCAACCAACCAACCAACCAACCAACCAACCAACCAACCAACCAACCAACCAACCAACCAACCAATCAATCAATCAATCAAT